CAAGTATTTGGTAATTGAATGAATGACTTGTTTTAGAAAGACACTGACTTCCAAAGGGCCTTACATGAAGCTTATTAAGAATAAAGGGTTTTTATTCTTAATAAATTGAACAAGGGGGCCTGTCTTGTTCACCATTTTACAAAAATTTTTAAAAAATAAACATTAACTTTTATGCTTTCCCCCATACACTTAAAAAAAAAAAAGACCTTCCAGATAAAATTTTCTTATATCTTTAAAACACTCGCATTTCCTGTATCATTTTGAATATATATTATACAGAGCCTTATTCTTGTTTAAAAAAATGCCAAATTTTTCAGTTTTACTTAATGTTCAAAATCACTACTTTTTTAACTCACTTTTCCTTATCAGTTATGCCCTGCTGATTTCTTTACAACCACTTCTTAAATCGCTAATAGACTGTATTTTAAATAAAATGAAATTTTCTTCAGATTTTGGAAAGTTTTAAGAAATATTTTCTGGAGATATCTTTCCTACTGTTTTCCTTCAACATGTGCTGTTATCCTGCCAAAGACTATCTTTCCCACCACACTGAGGAGACTAGGCAGAAATCCCTCAAGTCAATGCTCCGCCCCAGTTCCACCAACATATCTGCATCACACCTGTTCTTATTTATTCCAACCAGTCTCAGTGGAAAAGGATCCTCTTACACAGTTTCCTTTAGCTTACTGGAAAAATATCCTTCCTGAAATCCAGTGTAGTGGAATTGCTCTACCACTGTTCTGGTTCACATTCTCTACACAACCTCAGATCACCACTGCAACATTAATTTTCCTTTCCTATATTCTTAATTTCTCTGTCACTGGTTCTTTTCCACCAACATATATATACTGATACTTCTTTCATCTTAAAACCATCCTTGGCCGAGTGCCAGGGCTCATGCCTGTAATCCCAGCACTTCGGGAGGCTGAGGCGGAAGACTAGCTTGAGGCCAGGAGTTCTTGACCAACCTGGGTAACACAGTGAAAGCCCATTTCTATAAAAAAATAAAAATAAATTAGCCAGGCATGACAGTGCATGCCTGTGGTCCCAGCTACTAGGGATGCTGAGGTGGGAGGATCACTTGAGCCCAGGAGGTCTAGGCTGCAGTGGGCTTTGATGGCACCACTGCACTTCATACTGGGCAACAGAGCAAGACTCCATCTCTTGAAAAAAAAAATAGATAAATAAAAATAAAAACAAACAAATTTTAAAAAATCTTCTATATCTCTTCTAACAACTACCCAATTTCTCTCCCTCTTTAACTAAAATTTTAAAGAGCATCATCAAAGGTTTGTATTCTTCTGCCCATTTAATGGTCAGGTATATTTCATTATTACACCATTTTTAAAGAGAGGAAGACTCAGGAAGATTAAATACTTTCCAAAGAATATAACCTAGAAATCAGTTTAGACATAATTGAAATCAAGATATTTTC